ACTGGCTGCCTCATCAGCTCCTGTAACTCCTCTCCTATGTTCTTTGTTTTCTGTGATGGCATTGGCATGACCCAGCCTCACTGCTGTCCTACCCAGAGCATCCTCAGTGCACCACGGCCTTTCCACTCCTGAGCCCCATCTCCCTTGGCAAAAAAAAATGCCTGGCTGAAAACCACGCTCTGTCTCTTCATGAGTTTAGAAAAACTCTAAAGAAGGACTGACAATAAACACCAAAAGAGCCCAAAACTATGACCCATAGCTTTGTCCAACCATGGTTTGGTACAGTGTGAACAGGCAAAGGTATATGAGTACCCTACACAAAGGGACATCTCATCCCTCCTCTAAGGGATGCACATCTTTACCTAATGAGAAACTGCAATGCAAGACTTTAACAGCAGAAAGTAACCACAAGAGTAACAATAAACCCCAAATCACAGGTATTTATTTATTTCATTTTGCCTAGAAAAACTCTGAGAAGTTTCCACCAAAATACTGTGGAGCTGCTTGCCAGCTTCATGCTGATTACCAGCAAATGGTCTTGGACTGTTGTCCTCCCAAAATTAACTTCAGCCAGGCCAGATCCTCTTTCACCTGGAGTTTGTGACTAGACCAGCTTAATGAACTCATGGAAAGGCAGTGGGAAGCAGCAGTTTAACAGGCTGCAGTGGAAGGCCACGCTCTGCAAGCAGTGGATCATGGATAATGTCATTCTACTTGGACACTTCCTACCTAATACAGCTCAAACCACCTCATTTCCCTTCTCCTACAGCCCACAAACCACAGGTCTGACAACCGACATGAGACACCTAAAGCCATGAAGAAGCCAATCTGACTTTGCAGACAATCCTACTGGGAGCAGGATTTTGGATCAAGTGACCTCTTGAGTTCCCTTCTGACCCAGGTGAGCCTACATTCCTCCATCAGAAGTAGCATTAAGATCACAGAGGTTTTGTTAGGAATAAAAAGCCATTGTGGCAAAGGCATGGAACTCTCACCTTACCTGTAAGATTTTTCCACAGGTACCTGTGAAAAAGGGATCCATAGATTCCTCCCCATAGACAGAATAAAGCTACCATAAGGTCTAACAAAACTGCAACTCTTGATAATATTTTAAAAACAGACACAAAAGTTAGTTCAACTCTAAAAATACATGTTCAATAGCCTACCCTCCTGAATTTTCCTATTTTCTGAGCTCAAGTGGTTTGTTGAGTTCCACAACAAAAAAGTTTAAAAGTTTAATTCCAAGACAGAGGTTAAGACATCAACACAATCACAGGAGCAAGACGTACATGTCACCATGGTGTTAGACCTGTCGAACGTGGCACGAGATTTAATATTAAAGAGTCAAACAAAGAAAACAAAGACTATTCCATTTCCTTTTTTTCCTGTTTTTATCCATTATCTGGCAAGAGTTTCACGTGTTTGGTTTCTATTGTCTCAACTGTGAACACCTGTGCCTTCACATGTATACCCAAAACCTATGGAAAAATTTGGCCTGTGTAAAAGAAAAATAAAATTCCACAAAAACAATCTCAATTCCAATGATCCATAGATATCCCATCAGCAGCATTTGGTCCTTAAAATTCCATAAAAAACCCAAGCTTTGTGATAATCTCGGCCATCTAACCTGAAAACATGGCAGAGTATTTTTGCAGCATGAAATCCAAAGAATTATCAAGCTTCTCCCCATAGCAGGGAAGCATCCAGACACATCCCAAATCTCCAATGCTACTGCTTTTGTCCAAAGGAATGCTAGAGAAAGTCTCCAATTTGCAAACTTGAGCCGTGATCCTTTAAATATTTATGCTCATGTTTACTTTGTTGAGAGGGGAGAAATCCCATTCACTCGAGAGGAAGTGAAGCAAATGTCGGCACGCAGGACAAAGCCTGAGAAATTCAGATGCTCTTTTAAACCTCAACACAAAAAACTCACCATGTTCCAAAGCTGAAACCTGCACCCAGCCCATCTCAGGGAGCCAGAGTCCAGGCCCAGGCTGGGAGCTTCACCAAGACACAACAAACATGCCTTCAACCCCGGTGCTTCGCGTGCAAGCAGGAACGCAAATTCCCTTTTATTTACAAACCGAGGGGACGCAGGAATTTCTGAAATCAAGTTTGACCGGCTAAGATGCTTCCAGTGGTTCAACGACCTTGTTTGCTCCCTCATAAATGTATTTTTGAAAGAATTGAGTTCAAAAGTTGCACAGTTTAGAGCAAGAACTAGAACTGGGCAGAAAGTGGCCACACTACACTCACCAAAACCAACCACCCCAAACAACTTTAGAAATTCTACGGTCACACTTGAATGACAGAATCCCAGACTGGTTTGGGCTGGAAGGGACCTTAAAAGCTGATCTTGTTCCACCTTCTGCCACAGGCAAGGAAACCTTCCACTATCCCAGGTTGCTCCAAGCCCTGTCCAACCTGGCCTGGAACACTTTCAGGGATGGGGCAGCCACAGCTTCTCTGGGCAACCTGTACCAGGGCATTACCACCCTCTCAGCCAACAATTGCTTCTCAATATCCTATCTAAGCCTGCTCTCTGGCAGTGGGAAGCCATTCCCCCTGGTCCTGAAACTACAGTCCCTGATGAAGAGTCCCTCTCCAGCTTCCTTGTATACCCCTTCTAGATACTGGAAGTTTGCTCCTGGTTTCCCCAGACTTGAGGTATTTAAGCTCCAGGACTACAGGACACGTGTGGTCCCAAGGATGTGATGGCAAACCCTGGACTTCCTTGCCAGTTTGGTGGTGCCAGAGCTGCAAAACCAGTGGAGGGACCAGCACTGTCCCTGTGCTCCCAGTACTCCCCCTGTTGACTTGCGGGCATGTGAAGGAGCGAGCCGTTCTTCCATCCGGAGCAGAATCCTGTTCTCCTAGAAACCAAGCAGGGCATGAGGATTTCATGTCCAGCCATACCTTGACACAAGCTAAATTAAGGCTCCACAGGTAACTTTCACGTTTCCCAAGTGCCCAACCTCAGGTGCTTCACATTCTCAGGGGTTTTCCAGCAAACCTGATCAATGCTCATGAAATGCACCATAAACATCCCAGATACAAATGATTTTCGCAGAAAGCATTCAGATTTGCCTAGCAAAGGGTCCCAAAGGTTTGACTGTCTGAGGGTTTAGTACCGGTGTTTGTGAAAGATGTTGTAACAGTAGTAATGTCAGGCATTTGATACCTTTAATCTTAAAATGCAGCTTTCCCACCCAAAATAAGAAGAAAAAAAAGGTTAAAACGTGGAGTTTAAAAATCACAACAGGAGCAGTGGATGCACAGAACAAATAACTTCACAAAACAGATCTACACTTTAAATACGTGATGAATTCCAATAAAGCATTTTCCAAGTGCTGTTGATGGACACTAGACCTTTCAACACATAGGAAAAATCTCTAATGCTGCCTGATTTATACATTGATTGCAATAAATACATAAAGAAAAAATAAACAAATATGAAGCTGCATCATCATTGACAGCCGAGGAAACAAAACCATTATTACTTGCGTGCCAGGGCTGCTGAATTACCTTCCCTGCCATCAGCAGCCTGACAGACAACTTCCAAAACAGTCTTGGGGATCAAAAATTACAGCCAGGAGGGAGGGCAAAGGCTGGGAGAGCCTTAGTGAGGGAAAAAGGCATAGAAAGCCATCTTATTTTAATTAAATAAAATGTAAAAATGAGAAAAGCCATTGAAATGGGTGAGTTTACTCAAGGACGTAGGGGGAATCGTGTAACTGTAGGGCAAGGGGCTAAAAAGATGATGCTCTTCAGGGATAATGCAGGCTCTGACCTAGCCAGAGTTTATGGATAAGGTCAGATTTGTAAGGTCGTGTCTAAGGATTCACAGCCCATCACCGCACCCCTCCATGGGAACACAACGCTCCCCTGTGATTTCCTAGCAGTCCCATGGGAAAAGAGTCAGGAAAGCACTTGAGCCAGACAGAAACCTAATTCTACTACACCTAGCAATCTACAGAGCGATTTATTACAGCACTCGGTTATCGACTGAGTGAGACACCGCTCCCGTGGCAGCAAATCTCCTTCCTCTGCCGCTACGTGATTATTTTTTTGATCCGCCGATGGGCAGGGACCGCGCTGCAGCGAGGATGGGAAAGCCATGATTTCTGCTGAGCTCACGCTCCCCACTTTATCATCGTCGGCTTGATTTGGGGATAGGAAAACGTAAATGGAGGAGGCAGAAGCCGATCGAGAAGCAGAAGGGCGGCAAAAAGCCCGGCTCCGAACTCACGGCAGGTCCTAGCGCAGGTCACGTCGGAGGGGGCTTATTTTCTTGGGATAAAGCAAAGGCCTTTTGGCTACGTTTGGGAAAATTCCAGAAAGAAATATCGACTGCTTTAACCTTCGGAGGAGCAGTGCACCACAGGGGGTCCGGCGTGCGAGGGTGGGAAGTGCCGTGAAGTCCAACACTGTGCTAAGCAAATCCAGGTATAGCTCATTCCGACGGGTGGGAATGGCTGATGGGTACTCGGGAATGGCTCTGCGTGGCGTACCGGGATGCCGGAGCCACGGCGCGATCGCGACCTGCTCCCGTCGCGACGTCCACAGCCGTGGCCTCAGGGCTACTACCACACTCAGGGCTACAGCCCACGGCCCCACTGGTGACACTGGCGACGCCTCCGAGGTAAATCCCCTCCCACCAGGCTGTTTTTGCCATGTTCTGGGTGCCCAACCCACCCACCCGCGATGGGGGTGAGCGGCACCGGGCGGTGAAGCCCCGTGCGCGGGGGGGAGGAGGGCGCGGGGCTGCCCCGCACCGCGCACCCGGCCGGGGGCGGCTCAGGCCGGGAGGGTCCCATACCACCGGGGGGACTCCGCGACGCCGGGGAGACTCGCCCTCCTCCGCCGAACAAAGACTGCCGACGGCCCCGCGATGCTCCGGCGGGGCTCGCCTCACGACCCCCGCCCCACCGCTCCCACCTCACGTGCGCACCGGAGGCCCCCGCCCCGCTCCGCTCCCCGCTGCCGCCGCCACCGTTCACCTGCGTGTCGGGGCGCGGCGCATCCCTCGCCCGCAGCCGCCGCCGCCGCTGAGAGGGATCCCGAGGGTCGTTGGCTGCAGGAGGTCGGTTCTGAATAGAGGTGCCGGGGGTCTGTGATGATGAGGGTCGGTGCTGAGGAGTGCCCCAAGGGCCGGTGCCGGGGAGGGTTCCGGGGGTCGGGGCTGAGGGGGATCGGCGCTAAGGGAGGTCCGGGGGTCCCGGGAAGGAGGGGTGCGGGCAGCCGCTCCCGCCACCTCCACCGCCGCCGCCCGGGCGCTGCCCGACTGCCCGCGCGCGCGCGCCGCCCTCTCGCGCCCGCCCGGCGGAGGAGGGGAGGGAGGCGCGCGCGCCCCGCCCCGCCCCGCCCCGCTATGGACACGCCCACGGACACGACCCCTTGTCGTTACGACGCGGACGCTTTACGGTAGCGCGCGGTAACCAAGCGGCGGCGACGGGCGATGAGGCGGCGGGTGAGAGCCGGGGGAACGCGGGAGGGACATGGGAGGACAACGGGGGGACAGGCTGGGACATAGTGCCGGTAAGGTCCTGGCGCTGGGGGTCGCGCCGACCGCAGCCGTCGGCAGTGGCTGGTCTCGGGCCCTGAAGCTTCAAGCCTGCGTTTTAAGGGGAAGAGAGGGTAAAATGGGTAAAGGAGTGGAGGTGTGTTACGGTGCTGTGGGTGGTCCCTGCTCCCACCGCAGCCAGGCCCTGGCCCGCGTGCATTCTCCCCTTGCCCCGTAATTCCCGTTTATTCACATAAAAGCAGCGATGGGACGAGCGAGGTCCTCCCGGGGCTGCTGGCGTGCTCTGATCCCGGCCTCTGAGCGCCGGGACACGCTCGGGGTCAGGCTCGGGGTCAAGCTCGGGGTCAGCGCGTCGCTCCTCCTCCGTGGGGCGGAGGACACTCCGAATCGCCTCCCCTGACAGAATTCCCACTCCTGACCAATATTCCAGTGACCTCCAGGTCTTTCAGGTAAGTTACATTCCCTCCTCGTGCTTCCTATTGTAATCCCTGGATTACACTCTTTTCTGTGGGAGGTGAGAGATGAGTGCATGGTATTCGGGTTAAGGATCTGAGATGCGATCCCACCGGTACCTCTGGGACATTCCCGGTACCGTCGCTCATTCTCAGGCGTTCTGGTCGCTGAGGGTTTTTTCCTGTTAAACTCCAGGTTTTGGTCATTCCCACCCTGGGGAGCAAAATCCATTCTGTGTTGGTCCTGTGGCTCTTGGTTTCATGCCCTGGGAGATGCTGTGACACCAAGAAAGATTCTGAGTTTGGTTGCAGAGTCTCTGTTTTGGGGAATTTGTCCAGAACAGAGAAGTTTGGGCGTAGTGTGTACGGAGCTTGGAGTATTTTCCTCTGATTTCAGCACTCACGGCCTGCTGAACCTTCAGAAGTGGGATGTTCTTGTATCATACAGGAATTATAACCTACAGCTGTAGAGAGATTATTTATATTTAACAAAAAAGGAGTCAACCACACTTCCATTCTGGTTGTTTAATTTTCCTTGAGTTTCTGCTCTGGCTCTGTCAGGAAACACATAAGTCCAGAGGTTCAGGTGTCACCCAGCCTGGCTCCTGTTGGCAAATAGAAATTAATGTTTCTTGTCTGATCTTACTCCATTAACAACTATCCAGACGTTGTATCTAAACCCCGTATTTCCAGAAAAAGTGAACAGAAAGTTAGACCATAGGGTCTTTTACTCTTGATCTTTAAAAGACAAAACCTTCTCTGTCCTTCCTCCTGCTCCCTGATAAAGTCTGGATTCTTTGTCTTCCAGGTAACCATTTTCTTATTTACCTCCATGTTCTTTAAGTTAGGAACAGGACTCTAGTGATGTGTCACCTTATACTATTCACTCTGAAGGTTCTTAACACCTTTAATTTATTAAAATAGACTCTAGGAATCTGATTCATCCTTAGTTCACACTCCCTTTGCTCTGTCACTGCCTTTTTATGCTCAGTTGAAGGAGTCTCATCCTTTGCCTCTCAAGTGCCTTCAGCAATTACCTGCAGAGGGTTATCTTTAATGGTGTGAAAATGACAGGTCTGGGATGTTTTTTGGTGAAGTGTTGAAAAACACAGGCTTTGCTTTGTGTCCGGACACAAAGGAGCCCCATCCATTTATGGATTGAACTCCCGCGCTAATGTCAGCAGCTAATCTGTTAAATTATTATAACTTAAGTGAGGGAAACTTGACCTCTTGCCCTATTGATGCAACACAGCACCATTTTCAAATCTGTAAGTGAAATTATGGTGTTTGTATTGAAATGCTCCTTTCTCTTTCCCCATTTTCGTCTCAGAATTGGAAATAGGGCAGCTGAAATCTCTTGGAGGAGCTGAGGATTCCAGGGAGTTTGCACAAATTCCAACTACTAATATGCAGATAAAACAAACCAGCAAGACACTTGTTGGCAACCTCCAGCAAATGTTCCAGGTCTGGGCCAGTATTTATTCCTACTTTTATGGAAACTCAACAAAGCGTGCCTGAGTCTTCAGGAAGAGAGTCCTGGCTGTGGCTGAGCAGAGCTGCTCCCACTCCATGTCGGGATTTCAACACTCCTCAGAGGCTTGCATCCCCGTCCTGGCTCCTCTGCAGATCCATCTTTAGCTCTTATGGGAGTTTCTCCCAAACAAAGCCACCTCACCAGTGGCTTTTCACAGCCCCACCACTTTGTTTTGGTTCTCCCTGCTTACCTGACCTGGCTCTGAGGGAGCCTCCCAAGGGATTTCCTTGGAGCTGCATGTGGTGAGTCATCCCACAGAACTCACAGGCAGTTTCACAAATACCAGATGGCAACAAAATTAAAAGTAGTAGCTAGTGGCGATTAAGCACTTGCATTCTCCTTCCTGACTAGAGGAACATGCCAAATGTCATGACAGAAAAAAAAAAAAAACAAACCACAATGATGTTTCTGCAGAGTGGAAAATTAACAGAGCAGGGGACACACACTTCCCTCGCCCTTAATCCCATTTGGACTAGAGTGGAAAGCTATTGGCTGAACTTCTACATGTCCAGGAGAAGATGAAGCAGAAAGAACACCATGTAAAGGAAAATTCAGGGCATTACATGGGCACATACATGAAGTATTTCAGCAGTGCCCACGTTAAACCCCCAAACAGGATGTTTGCAGTGTGTTCAGATCTTTAAACCAAGCTATATTCGGGCAGGCTGAGGAGTTACTGTGATTCCATTTGGATTTCTTGTTTTTATACTATAAGGGTTTGCACCACGAGCTTGGAAATAGTTGAAGCTCATTAAGATCGGAAGTGTGTCCAAATACCATTGTGTTTGGCTCAGCATAAACAAGGGCTGTTCCCTTCCTCTGGTGACTCCTGCTGCTCGGCATCTCTGGGATCCACCAGCCACACAGAAACGCTCACTGGCTGTTTCAAACACTCACCTCAGCCCTTCCTTCCGATGTGTTACACATGGACCATGGCTCATCCATTCTGTTCCTTGCCTGTCACATGCCGGGGAACTTTGCCAAGATTTTTGAGAGATAAATCCCTTAATTTATGCATCCCAGGCCAGGAAGGGTTATTCCTCATGATTCATGTCACAATAAGAAGTGTGAATCTACTTCTTCCTAACAGAATACTCCATTTGCTTCATTCCTCTTTGTCATGATGGAAAATTGTTGACTTATTTATAGTGAATCATATTAAAGTGATCTTATCATTCTGAGCTTTCACACGAGGCTTTCAGAAATCTGAAGATGTTTTCATGCTGTCTTTGGGACAGAAGAGGGAAGAATGAGGCCAAAATCAGCTTCATGTCACCCCTGTCCCAAGTTGTGGCATTTCCAGCCCTGTCCTGGCCAGGAAAGGAGCTAGAGGCTGAGAATGCATCACAGCACTGAGGAGCCTGGAAAGGCTGCGGGATGTCAGAGCTAAAGGAAAACCAGGGTAGATATAGGGGCTCTAAATCAAATTTCCGTATGGAAAATATCCTAAATTGTGGCTATGTAGAGAGTTGTCATAAAGATTCCCATGGTCAGGAACTGGTTTGTTTGTGATCTCATCTTGCTTTGTTACTCCTTACTCAAGGCTGTGCCTCCTGTGCTGGCGGCCCAGCAGGTTCTCCTGGAACATCTCATGCCTCTGGCACAGAGCTGGGCCACTCTGTGCTCAGAGAAAGGGACAATATGTCTGTCAGACAGTCCAAAAAGATTTTTATTTAGGGGAATACCAGTGATGCAAAGAACTTGTCACCGCACAGGTAAAACACTGAGACACCCAAACACCACCTGACTTCTGGATCACTCCTGGTTTCTGTGCAGGAACTGCTCTGAAATTCCTTTGTTGTGAGGTTCAGATCCTCAGGATAGAAGGTTGATCTCATTAGAGCCACAGTAGGTTGCTGCTCAACCCAACACTGCGTGTTCTCCATCTGCTCATAGTCCTGCAAATATCCATCTGGGTGGGGAATCCTGGGCTCTTGCTACTGCTGCCGAGAAGGAACTTGAGGTGTTTGTTGGGCTGTATCACATCCCAGGTGTGATCCAATGTTCCCTTTGTCTGTTGCAGCTCTGTGGGTTCCCTGGAGCAGTGCAGGATGGATCCCGTGGTTCTCAGCTACATGGACAGCCTGCTGAGGCAGTCGGACGTGGCCCTCCTGGAGCCCCCAAACTGGCTCAATGACCACATCATCGGCTTCGCCTTCGAGTACTTTGCCAACCAGCAGTTTCAGGAGTTCAGCCACCGTGTTTGTTTCATCAGCCCCGAGGTGGCTCAGTTCATCAAGTGTGCCCTTAGTCAGGAAGAAATAGCCATATTCCTCCAGCCGCTGGACCTTCTCCACAAGGAGCTGCTGTTCCTGCCTATCAATGACAACTCCAGCCAGGCCGCTGGGGGCACCCACTGGAGCTTACTGGTTTATTTCAGGGATAAGAAGTGCTTTGCCCATTACGATTCCCACAGTAAATGTAACTCTGTCCACGCCAAGCAAGTGGCAGGGAAACTGGAGGCCTTTCTGGGAATAAGAGGAGGCAAAGCCACCTTTGTGGAGGAGAAGGCGCCGGCACAGCAGAACAGCTACGACTGTGGGATGTATGTGATCTGCAACGCTGAGGCTCTGTGCCACAGGTACTTCCAGGGGCGGATGGAGCCTCTGCTGCAGCTCCTCACCCCCTCCTACATCACACAGAAGAGGTCAGAGTGGAAAGCTCTCATCACGAAACTGGCACAGAAGTGATGGGGATGCACCTCCAGCCCCTCAAAAACTGCCTTCCCAGTCCAAGAGGCAGCACCCCCAGTGCCTGAGGGAGATGCCCATGCACAGGATTGTCCCAAAGAAAAAGAATGTAACCCCCCTAGCATGGCTACACCCCTAAACACCCCATTCCCTCCAGGAAAAGCCTTATTCTCCTCTCGAAATCACCGGCCTTTCAACTTCTAATGCCAAGAGTCACTTTGCTTTCAAAGAAACCCTTTCCATGGTAAATTTTTACAGTAATCGCTGTGGTGAAACAGGTTGCTAAAGAGACTTCTCCACCTGTGCCCAGAAGGCAACACGCCCTCATTAGGTGGCTTTAGTTTGCTCCAGGCATTGTCCTTCCAAGCCAGGTTTAGCAAATGCCCTTTAAACCCAAGCCTCTGAGTGCTTTATCGTGGACAGTTCTAGTTTGTGCCTCCTGCTAATAGCATTGGAGCAATGTGGGATTTAGCAGCCAAGAAAACCCTTTTAGCCCCTGAAAACCTGATATTGATATGTCACTGCAAAAAGATGAGACTGCAAAGGAAATGCTACAATTAATTTAAGAACAGGGAAAAATCAAAGTCAGTTTTCATCAGCCAGGTGCTCCTTGGCCACACAGTGATGGCTTTTTTTGGTCCCCCGCCCCTGCTTGTTCTTATTGCAAATTAAAACCTGACTCTGAACTGCTGGAAGATTAATAGGAAGCTGAGAAAGCCAATCCTAGGAAAAGAAAATTGAGATGAAAAGCAACACTTGGTCTTTGAAGTCTGGGGTTTTTCATTAGGATTTTAGGTCGTCTCTGTGTGGGGAGGGTTCATCAGTGCTCCCCAGCCCTTGTTAGCGGTCGCTGCTCTAACACAAAACCAGTTCTGTTACTTGAGAGAAAAAAAAAACACACCAGGGAGAACAAAAGGACAGAGTTTGAGGTATAAAAGCCAAAGATAACTGTGGGCTCGTTGAAGTCCTTAATGCACTTCAGCAAACTGAAACACTTCTCTTCCCGTGCTACATGATGGCTGGGATCCTGAAGTGGATCCTCTCCTTAAAGACAGGCTTAGCAGTGTGGAAAATAAAAATTAAACTGGGATGTTTTTGCAGGATAAGGAATCTCTCACTTGGTGAGAAGCAAAAAGCAGGTTGCTCAGGTGCTGTCTAGCAGAGCAACCACACCCCTATCTGAGAAGGGAAATCCGGGTTAAATACAACCCTTGAGGAAGAATTGTTTTTAACCTGGAGCTCTTCACCACCAGTACAACACCGAGGGGATGGAGGGCTTCCTTTGCTCCAAGTGAAAGTCAAGAAATCAGCTCAGGCTGCCCCAAAACACCCTCATGGCAGCACTGGGGCCTGACAAGGGTTGAGGCCATTCCCCTCCCTCCTAACACTGCCTGGACAGGAAAGCAGCCTCCAGCACCAGCCCTCCCTGGAAAACTCACTCAGCTGGAGCCAGAACAGGATCCAGCCCTCACTGAAGGGGATTCCTTTTGGACTCTGAGGGGCTTTGCCAGAGTAACATCACTGCCACTCCCAATAAAATCCCGAATAAAACTCAGACCACACCATGCACTTCCTGGCATCATCCAGTCCTTGGTGTCCCTGCTAATGCTGTGGTGCAGAGTGTCACAGCATGATGGCTCTGACTCATCTGTCTGACAGTGCCGCCTTGGCTGATTTGATCTCTCAATCCTATTTTTAGAGGTTGACTTGGGCTGAGGAGGGAGGGAGGAAGACAGAAAACGGGACCGTGGGTGTGGCATGGGAAACACCAGGGAGATTTGAGGGCAGGGGCTGTGCTCATCCAGCTCCTCATCCTTTTCCAGGTTAGCAAAGTGAGCGTCCAAGAACGTTCCCTGCACCCAGGACATTTACATGGCATTGATTTACACAAAGAAAAGCAAATAGGCTCAAGCAGAGTGTCACTGCAAGAGCCAACACGCACCAAATCGGGCGGGCAGACACCAGCTGGGAAACAAAACTAGAGCCTTGCAACCACATCCCGGCAGCACAGACCCCCCAAAGCAGCGCTCCTCCAAACTTTCTACATGTCACTGCACCCATGGCTTGTCCCATCACTGGCTTTAACTAGAGAGTCCTCAGAGGAGACCACATTCCTGGCTCGGGCTCAGCACAGGGACCCCTGCACTCCAAGCTCCTGCTGTTGGAGCACCCAACAAACACCAGGCTGGGCACATCAGACCAATCCCTCCCCCAGTCCTCAACCTCTAAACCTCCTTACGTCCTTTTGGGGCCAATAGTTTTTGAGGTTGGACCCACTAAACACCAACTTGTTTGTTGGAAAAACAACCCTAAACCCATTTCCACTGGGTAAACAAGCTGGGTGAGTCCCTGGCAGGGACAGGATGGCGCCTTTCATCTTCCAGGTCACCCATGGAATCAAAGGCTCTGACAGCCCCGTAATGCCAGGGCTTTGAAGAAACGAGACCATCTCCCCCAGGCACCCCCGGGTACTAAATCCTGCCCACAACAGGTGACACCACCGCTGTCCCCACTTAACCAGTGGCCACCGTGGTTTTCAAGTTGGGCCATTTTCATGCATTTTGCTCCATGGGCCAGGCCGGGGAAAGGAGTGGAATTGGGTTGTGGATGTGCAGGGAGGAGGAGGAGAAAGAGGAAGGTTCACCCTGCCCACCCCAGCAGGGTGAGGCTGCAACTCAGCTCCCTCCCCCGGCACCACTGTCTCCAGGGTGGCCCTGCCACCAGTGCGTCACATCCCGCAGTCTCTGCTGCCATCTAGTGCAATAACGTCCTTGGTTCCTCTGTCGGGAGCATCCCTGTCCCCTTGTCCCCATGAGAGGATGGGCTGTCCCCATGTCACCCACATCCTGAAGGGACACCGGGGTGCCCGGTTTTGGGGCTCACAGCCTAGCAGCGCTGTGGAGGACGCTGGTGAGAGACAGTGATGTGCTAGAAAATCCTGGGTTTATTTTCATTACATTTAAAAGCCGTTCCAAGCCCGGAGCGAGCAGTGAGCTCTTCCCCGGGGCACCAGGATTTGGCCCCGTGAGCACTTGTAGTTCCCAAAAAAACATGAAATAAAACCCGAAGGAATCACACAGGTATCACCTGCCGCCCCAGTGTGCTTGCCGGGGGCTGTGCAACAAATCCTGTGAGACAAATCCTGCAGCACTCAGCTCCATGTGGTGACAAGGTTAACACGAACCAGGTACACTCTGGGACATTCTCCAGTGCCAGCCATGGGCTTTTAATGGGGCGAGCAGGACTAACAAAGCCCACCGGTGCCAGGTGTGGACCCCAGCGAGGACACCTGGTCTGGGGGACCTTAAAGTGCTTTGCAAGGGACACACAAACACACACACACCCCACCCTCTCTGAGCCCGGTGCTCCAGGAGAGAAGGGCTGAGGGCCCTGGCTTGTACCCCCACCCTTGTTTGTGGGATAGATGACACTCCACAGAGCTGGTGGGCCCTTTCTCCCCATCCCCACAGACCCCTGTGTTCGGGGCCATTCCTCCAGGCACGTTTCCAGGAATACTGAGACAGGGACAAATAGGTAGGTTTTCCCAGAGCAGCAGTGGCAACTCATCCACACTTTTGGGGGTTCCTGGTGAGCACAAGGTCATCTTTTAACAAGAAAAAAACAAGCCTGAAATAAAAACCAGCATCCATTTTAGCAGCAAGTCCTAAGGGAAGGTCCAAGTGCTCAGCAGCCCTGAGCCATTGTCCGGTGCTAGAGCACAGCAGTGTCCCAGGGAGAAAACAGGTTTCCAGTGGGATGGGGAGTTGGCACCGGTGGCCAGAACCTGGCTGGAAAGTGCCACCAGGAGCAAGTGCCCAAAGGAAGAGAGAAAATACTTGGTCCCATTTTACTGGCCAAGGGAAAGCCAGACCACATTTAACAGCCATGGTTGGGAGGACACAGCACCAGGATCCATGAGCAGGGTGCCACCACCTCAGTGTCCATCCTCAGTCAGTGCCTGGGGAATGGTCACCTGCAAGCAGGGAATGGGGTAAGATGGGATGAGTGACTGCAGAGGCTCCATATCCCTTCCTGGTGCCTTCTGATGTCCTCAGCCCAAGAAGATTCCCCTCCTGTCCATCCCATGCTGATGCCCATGGCCTTAGCCTCCAGGCACAGCCCAGCTCCAACGAGATGTCCTGGTGCTTCCTGCAACTGGAGAACCAGCCCCAAACCAATGAGGAAACCTCTTCCCAAGCTCCAGAGTCTTGGGGACAGCAGAGCTTCCAAGTCACTCAAACCAGCAGTTGATGGGATCACCTCCAGTGTGGAGATGGCACTGTGGGTTCTGCCAACCCAACAGCAGGTCCAGGATAAGGGACAAAGCATTCCTTGGACACATCACAGAATGGAGCATTCCTCTTTGCACCCACATTCCCTCAAGTCCTCCACTCATGGCACGACCTGTGTGTCCCAGAATGTCCTGGAGGGTCCCTCACCTCCTGTGCCCGCGGGAGAGGTAATCCCGGTTCAGAGAGCAGAGCTGCTGCTCCAGACGGAAGATGCGGAATGCCAGGTACGAGGATGACACGACCAGGAGACAGATGCTGGGAGCAGAGGAACAAGCCAAACACCCAGTTGAGACTGAGATCAACATCCCCAGTGTCCCCCCAGCTTCCCTGCGCCCTCAGCAAACTTACAGCACAATGAAGATCTTCAGGAGCTGGTAGTCAGAGGGTCTCAGCTCTGCCACACAGCTCTGCTCCACCTCCAGTTCTTCCTCGGTATTTATTGCACTTTCTGAAAGCAAATCCAGAGTCAACGGCACACTCACATTTGGCTGATGCTCCTGCTTCTCCAGCAACCAGGAAACATCAAATATTCCTCCCTCATGGGCTCAGATCCTGCAGCCAGGAGATCCCAGCCCATCCCCAAGACTCCATTGCTGACTCCCAGCCTAATTTGTAAGGCAGAATTCTCCTGCACGAGAGCAGAGGATGGATGAACACACTTTTATGGAGGTTATCACAAACCCATCTCCCTCACCCGAAACCAGTGGCTCCTCAGAGGTGAAGGAGCTCTCCTTGGCACTCAGGCTGCTGACAGAGGTCCGGTGGATGCACTGGTAGTTGGCATCAGGCAGTGACAGTGACAGCGAGGTAGGTGACACCTTCCTCCACTTGCCCTCGGGGACGATCACCTCCTGTGGGAACAGTCCTGGTGAACCATGAATGAAACCAGCAGCACCACAGATATGGTGGAGCCAAATGCAAACTCAAACCTTACAGCATCTCCATGGAGCACCAACATCATCCTGAGGGAGAGCTGGTCTTCCATGATGGCTCCACAGGAATGCAGGTTCCTACTACCATAGAAGGACCTGCCCACGCATCCCACACCTGCCCCAAATACCAGCTGCTGCTTCCTCCACCCCTTGAAGCTCAGGGCAATCACCTGGAATTCTTCAGCATGCCCCAAACAGGGCAAAAATGTGCCCCCAAAAGACAAAAAAATCAAGCGGGTGGCAGCTGGCACAGAAAGGGGCTCCCCCAGCAGAGAGTTCCCAGGGCTGGAGCTGCCAAAGGGCTGCATCCCACTGAAGCACCAGGAGATGCTGCCAGATCAGCCTGGGTCACTCCCGATTCAGCCCTTGGAATGAATCTTTAACCCCTGGCATATCACCAGACCATGGGTGACATCCCACCTATCGCCCTCTGGTGCACCCCAACTGTCACCTCCTGCACCCAGCCCAAGGCTCAGGACCAGCAGCCATGGAGGACACCCTTCTCCAAAGGTGCAGGACGTGGCCCCCCATGCTCCCTGGATCATGCCATGGTTCAGCAGGTGTTTCCCTTTCCCATCCTACTCATCCCACAGACTTTTGGATAACTCAACCACATTGCCAGCTGTGAACAGCATCAGCTGCCAGGGTGGCTGCATTTTCCACATGACTCTGAAGTTTTTCTGTCTATAAACAGACAGAGTGTTTCTGTCTATAAACAGACAGAGTCACTGGCTGTGCTCTTGACCCATCTGCTCCTGCCAAGTCTGGACACTAGGGTCCCAGAGGACAAGCTATGATGGCAACAGGTGCATCCTTGCACCCTCTGACGGCACTGACAGAAGAATTGACTCTCTCCCGACTCTCTGAGCAGCCACCAGACAGTGTCAAGCCCACCAAGGGGACCAGGCAGGCCCTCTGCACCCACAGCATGAGGTTAAGGGGTCTCTCCTCTCCCAGAGCTGCCCTGACCCTCACCAGTGACACGGAGTCCGGCTCCTCCGACAGCTCCTTCAGACTCAAGCTCTTCTTACTGGAAACCTAGATGGGAGGGAAAGGATTGGGCATCACAGTGCCACCTCTCCCTGCTTCAGCCTTAGCCACAAAATGGAATTTGGGCTTTTCTGCTGAGACTATGAAGAGCAGCTGCTAGAACTTATAATCACGGGGATTTGGGGCATAAGGAAAGGGCACTGCATCACTGTTTCCCATCACCAAAAACCTGGTGGGGCCCATGGTTGAGCCAAGGGCTTCTGTGGACAGGATAAAACATCAGGGGATAAAAAAAAAAGAAGGGTACATCTGGGCAGAGCCCAGCACATTTCAAAGAATAAATCCCCCAGTTTGGCAACAGGCCTTAATCACCCAAATCGCTGCCCTGGCACAGCTGGCACACACCCTCCTGGGCAGGGCAGGGCCCTTGCATGGCTTCCCACATACTCCAAAGTCATGAAGAAGAGGTCCCCAGAGTCATCCTCTCCAGCTCAAGAGCTGACGGATGTCCTCCCCCAGTTAATTTAAATTTCTGTTTAATTTTGTACCATTTTTCCTAACCTTATAACTTCAGATCTGGGTAAAAGGCATCAATGTGCAGAGTGGCAGAACTAGTATTACCACCAGATTATAAATAATTCATATCCACGCCCTGAGAGAGAGCAGAAACTCAGAGCTTTGCCTCATCCATGACCCAGAAAAGCCCACGGGGACAGGACGTGCCCAAGGCATGGCTCCTGCCCCTCTTCCCATCCCTTGCTGTAGACTGAGGATGCTGGGAATTGGAGACGGCTTTGGGAGCAGTCCAAAGCCTTGGAGGCAGTGATGAAGAGCTATGCTCAGCCCAAAGGGCAGGTGCAGAGCCTCAGGGCCATGGACCCAGAGTGGGGGTACCTGCAGGTGGGTACAGACTCTCCTCAGGACATCATAGACGCTGTCACGAGAGATGAGGGATACGAAGATGTACTGCAAGAGAAAGAGACCAGCTGTTGGGAGAGATTCCTCCCATCCCTAGTCTAGTTCTCCACAGGCAGGAACAGGCAGAGACGTCATGCCCTTGAATCTCCCCCTTTTCAGGAGCCACGTCTCCCCCACAGGCATTTCCCTGCAGAGCTTCCCTGCTGTTATTTTTGCAACCTGCTAAAACCTGGACCAGATTTTTTCGGGCCAGTCTTGCTCAGCTTTCCCATGCTCAACCCAGAGGGACACGGCAGCAAATGGGGCCAGGACCTACAGTAAACATCCCCAGGGATGGAAGGGACACAGGGCCATACTGTCCATGCCTGACACAGAGCCCCTGGCTGATATGCAAGGCAGCCACACATGGCTTTAAATGCCCAAATCTTGTCCTATGCCACTCCCTGCTAAAACCCACCTCCCAAATTCTGCAGGAATAACTGCCTCCCAAAATCCTGCAGGAATAACCCCCTCCCTGGCAGAGACATGCAACACACAGTGCTGGCAGCAGCACCTGGGCAGGCGAGGACTTGGACACACTGCATCAGCTCACTGCAGCCAACAACATCCAACGGGATTTAAAAGCTGGAAATGCAGCCCTGTATCCAAGTTTTCCGCCAGCTCTGGCTGAATGCCAGCCCAAACCCTTTCCCTGCTCGTGTTTAAGGAGTTTAAAGGTTTTACGTGAGCCTGGCAGGGATTTGTCAGGCTCGGCCGAGTTTCACTTGGGCTTTACTTCGTCCAGGAACAAAGTGAAATTCAGGAACAAAAGCAAAGCTGTGGTGTTTGCCCTGGCTGGCAGCCAGCACAGAGAGCAGTGCTCACTTCCTAACCACGGATGGGAATAGCTTCGTTCGCTGCTCTCAAACCACATCCAGTTTGGCCCTGGGCATTGCTGGGTGCTGGTGTTACCTTTCTGCTGGCAGTGGTGGTGATGGCCAGGCCATTGGGCAGCAGCCGAGCCGTCTTGTGCTTCTTTATCAGCTGTACAGACACCACCGGGATCACAACCTGCAGGGCAGGAACACAGCGATGGACACAGCACAGGCATCGTCCAGCCAGCTTCCCTAAGATCCACCAGCAGAGTCCTCCCCCGTGCAAGCCCAGGGAGGGTGAAAAATAAGGCATGATGTTATTTCTGGCAGGGTAACTTTGCTGAAACCTCGAGCTTCCTTCAGGTATTTGTTTAAAGCATCACATATAAATAATTCAGTCCTTCAGCCCAGTTTTAAAGGAAGACATCTCTCCCCAAGATCCCCATCAGCCACAAGACTAATGAGGAAACATCAGATTGTAAATCAAGGAAAAAAGCCAAGAGAGATTCAAATCTTGCCCCCCCCCCCCCCCCAAAACCTTTGATCTTCCTTCAAGCATCATTGCAGCTGGAAGGAGGTTTTGCATCAGGGAATTTTAAACCAAACCAGTATTTGGTTTCCCGAGGCTGATGCCACAGGTCATCAGAGGGGGATGCACAACCATGTTCCCCCTCCCATTGGAGCCTTCTGTTGGGGATTTTGGTGGTATTTGGGTGCAGGAGGGGATAAGCTGTGGTAACAAGCCCTGAGGGACCAGTGTGGGCTGGTGCTCACATTACCTTAATGTCCTTCCCAAAAAGGTTGGCGTAGAAGCAGAGCCAGTTGGGGGAGATGTAAAGCCTTCCTTGGATGAGGATGTCTCTCTGGAGCGCGCAGGAACAAACTGCAGGGCAGAGAGAGAGTCGTGGCTATCCCTGTGCTGGATCCTGCCCCCTCCGTGCCCATCCCTCACCCTGCCACCCACCTTTCAGCACGCTCTCCTCCGTCGGGATGTCCTTGAACAGCTTGTGGTATTGGGAGTTGTACTTGCTAGCAGCCTGAAAGCAAAGCAGAACAAAGTTATCCGGTGACCTTGCTGATAAGGAGACCCAAAAATCCCTCTCCTGCAAGAAAACCTCCCTTTGCCCGCACCCGGGAGCGGCGCTGGGGGGTCCCACCAGGCTGGGGACAGAAGCCCCGACGGATTAGAGGAAGGCTGGATGATCCAGCACCCGGCGAAGGCTGTGCCATCCTCCCAGATGAACATTTCCCTTGGTATCTACGGAGGCTGCTGAGCCTCAGTGAGGAGCCGCTTTTCTGCCAGGCTCATCTGCAGACAGTTTATTTTGCCCAGCGGTTTCTCTCCTCCTCCTCCTCCCTTATCCGGGACACAGTGACAACACTTGCTTTGCGCCCATCGCGCCGCACCATCCAGCTATTTATATTCATTCCCGGCGCCGCTTCAAAGCCTGCCGGCAGCCGCGCCGGGAGCCCCCGCAGGTCGGCCCTGAAATGCTCCTGTGGTGAAGGTGAAGCTCTGAAACACTTCAACGCCTTCCATCAATCCACTCAACTGGCCCTGTAAGGCAGCTTTGTGCCCTCTGCCCTCAGGATGCTCCCCAGGGATATGGCTGTCCTGCAGTGGTGACAGCTGCCCCCCAAATTCCAAGGGAGGAGCTGCTTTGCCAGGATGCAGAGAAAGCTGGCACAGCAAGGCTGGTTTGTGGCAGCCAAGCAAGCAGAGCCCTCCTGGCCACAGGTACAAGGTCACCTTTGTTCTGTGCACCTTGTCACTGGATGAGCTGGGCCCTAAGAGGATCAAGGCTCAGCAGCACCTGGAGTTGGCTCAGACACCTCCCAGAGGGACGCCAGGATGGTGGGGGTGCCAGTGGGAGCATTCCAGGAGAACATGGAGGGCATTACCACCAAGAAACACCCCTTGGTCCCAGCATAAATCTACTGCAGGTTCTGTCACCCTCCCAGATGCCACTGAGGAAATCGAAAAATGTTTTTTCCCTTCATTTTCTTCACGGGAAAAGGCAAAATGCCACTTCCTGTCACTCCTTCCTCTTCTAGTGCACCTCTTATCTATAGATGGACCAAAACCACCTAGTTTGGGCATGATTTGAACAACCAAAAAGGTTCAAATGGACAGAAATTTAACTGCTCTCAGTAAACATTTTCACTTTCTCCTTTGCTCTAGATGGAAAATCCTGGAAGCATTTGCAAGGCAGGGCATGAGCCACACAAAACCATCACCAGATCTCCTGAAATTAAACGCTGGAGGCTCTGCCCCACATCAGAAGCTGCCTCCAGCTCCTTCAACCTCTGGTTGGCTTCAGCCAGGGCAACAGGCACACACCAGTTTGGTCATTCCCAAAGCCAAAGGCTTACCACTTCCCGGTGGCATTTCTTGATGTCCTCATCCTTGAGGGTTTCATTCAGGCGGAGGCTGGAATTAAAAACAATAATCATCAGGTAAGCAAACAGCCACAGGTCTCTCACCCGGCTCCCTAAAACACGTGTGCTGCAATATGAGACATGGAAAAATGTAAAGGACTGAAGAGAGACCCCAGGAAGCCACATTTTGGGTGTCTCCATGATTTATCGTGGCATTGGGCATTGCTGAAGCTCAGTACCGGCAGTTGAGGGCTGATCTCTGATGAGAGCCAGTGAAGGCACCAAGACCAAAGCACTTCACACACACCCCAGTTCTGGGGGAAGGAGCCCAGAGCTGACCTGGCAGCATCTTGGGACAGGCTGAGAGCTGGAAATGTGCAGCTTTGGCTGGGGCAAGGATTCCCAAGAGAAAACAAAGGCAGGAATTTGGGAATGTGCCTGAGCAAGAGCTTTGGCCATGCACAGGGACATCCACCCATCTATCCCACGGGCAGATGAAAGACAAACCATGGAGAAAGCAATATCCTACCAACAACCTCAGCAGTGGGAATATCGTCCCCTTCCCCAAAACCCTTTCACTTCCCTGCTTTTATACCCACAATAGGCGAAAAAAAATATGAGCCCCCCCCTTGTGCCCTGCCCAGTTGGAAGGCAGTACTCAGGGCTCAAAGGCAGCAGAAATACCATAGCAGGATGGAAAGGAGAGAACACTCAACCGCAGACAGACCCTGGGATGCTGTTCCTCACCTGCCATCAAGGGAATCCAAACTCTTCTGCTTGTGGAACACCTCCAGCTTCTCACGACTGTGCCTGGGCTCGGAGCTCTTCAGGGGAGCTGCCTTCTCATGCATCGGCGTGGTACTGCAAGGAGACACCTGTCAGCCCCCTAGGGAAAGGGGAAAAGGGGTCTGGAGCTGTAAATCTGTTCCCTTCAATCCCAGCCTGCACAAAGACATCAGAATCTGCTGCTCAAGGACAGCAAGAATATTTCTGCTATTTCTCAAGTCACGTGGAGAGAAAAAAAAAATCATTTTTCTGCCAGGGACTCCCCAGTGCTTACAAAAGAGCAGCCAAATTGCTGCGGCTCCCTGGGATAACACCCTCCAAAGCAGAGACTCTCCTGAAGGGCTGGAGGTTGGGATGGGAAAAACCACAAGTCTATGAAACTCCTTGGGGGATGAATTTCAGCCAGGGTCTGCTCCTCTTGGTCAGCAAAACATCATCTTCCCAGGGCAGAGCCATCACCAGGCACATTAGAGCCGGTTATTTACCATCGGGAATGTTATCAGAGGTGCTTATCAGCCACGGCAGGCTAAGTAAACACGGGCTCAGCGCCACAGGGAGGTTATCACCTGGCAGGCCACAAAGGTGACACTTCCATCCTCGACAAACCACCACCAGAGATTGCTGTGGCACCGGCAGCCAAGCAGAGCACAATCCCAGGGGACCGGTGGCATGGCAGAGCCAGCAAACAGCCACAGACACATGGAGAGGAAATTATTCCAGGGAAAGCACTGAGCTCACTGGGCAGGGGCTGATGTCGGAGCAGGTGGGGTGCTGGCAGGACAGGATGAGCACCAGCAAGTGGGACAAGCGCAGAGCTGGAGTGCATCCCGGTGCCCGCGGGGACGATGCCGTGGCACTGCGGCACAGCCCAGACTGAGGAGCCAACCAAACCTCCTATACTCAGAGAGCGGCTCCTTCGCCACCTGTACTTCCCTAGACACATCCTGCTCCTGCTCCAAGGGGCTCATCTGAAGGAAAACCCACGGAAATAATCCCCCCGACTCAGGAAGAGCCAGGATACTGACAAGAAGCACCAAAATAACATCCCCTGGCATGGCACCAAAAAGGTGTTTTCCCTGCCTGACTCCTCGGGCATCCTCTGCCTAGGGATGCCATGCTGCCCTGAAGCACCAAAGCCTTCATCTGCCCGTCTCCCATGCTGGAAAAGGGGCTCTGATCTGATCTGGAGCCCCCTTGTCCAGAGCTCAGCACTCTCTGGCTTCCCTCACGTCATCCCTTAAATCCCCAAGCGCCTGCACTGCTTAATCCGGTGAGCGGATTTATCCCTAACCGGCGCTGACACCGAGGGGCACCACACAGGGATCGGGGAGAGGCAAAGGCATCACAACCCCTCCGAGGTCACCAAACACAGAGAAATCCCCTAAAATGAAAAAAAACACAGGCTGGAAAGCACTTGGAGTGCTTCTCTCCCTCTCATGGCCACCATCAGGGACAACTTCTGGGTAAGATGATCCGGGATGCAGTGCTGGCAGTGGAATGCTCCAGGAATAGTCTGGGGGCTGTGACGAGCATCCTCAACCCCAGTAGGGACATCACAGGAGCTGCTTTGTCACCTCTGTCCAGATCTTGCTCCATCCTGGCTCCTAGATGCATCAGGGATATACATCCAGAGTTTGGGAGCACAGGATAAGGCTGGGTTCCAGGTACAGGGAGGTTTCCCTTCCAAGAGGTGCTTCCAGTGCCAGCACAGTGAGGAAAACACTTTCTAGCAGCTCATACTGTCACTCTCCTCAAAGAATTTGTTCAGCAGGAAGCTGCTCCTGAGGTAAACTCACTATCCCAAGTGTCCCAAAATACAAAGTCGGAGTTCAGAGCTCCTGAGAGGAGGTAGAGAAGGTGGTTGTAGAAGTTCCCAGCAAAGTGAAAACAATCCAGCGACCTGGTGCCCCTTTGCCAATTCCTGACACCCCCTACCCGCCCACACCGGCACCCTGAACCCTCAGGTTTTGCCAGGTGAAACCCGGTGCTTCTCCCTCCCACGGGATTGCCGTCTCCCCTTACGCGGCGCTGGGATCCAGCCTGGAAAAGGTCCGGCGCGAGCCCCTCCGTCGGCGAGCGATTTTCGCTGGATCCCTCCTCCGCTGCGGGAGAAGAGCGCGGCGGAGGCCGGAGCGAGCCAGGCAGGGATCCCGCCTCCCAATAAACCCCAGGAGGCTCAGAGGCGGAGGGAGGCACCGGCGGGTGGGCGGCCGCGGCCCGAGGGAGCCCTGGCGGGATTCGGCGAGCTGCCCTTGGTCCCGGCGTCCAAGGTCATTTCAGTCCCGCGTGTCGGAGCTGGAGCGGAGCCACCCCGGGATGCTGGAGGGGAACGGCCGGAGCCGAGCGGCGCTGGCAGGAGATAATGAGGTGCGACGTCAAGGCCGGAGGGAGCCCCGCGTGCTCCTCCCGCGATGTCCCCGGTGTTCGCTGCCCCAGGAACCAGGAGGTCACAGCCGGGACAGTGCCGAGACCCCGGTCCTGAGATGTCCGCAGCGCCTGTGGCGCTGGGTCTCACCGGGAGCCGCTCCGAGCGCCCCGCGGCACGGAAGAAGCGCACAGGGAGGTGACCCCCGGCCTGCGGGGGTGTGAGGGGCATGGTGGGACCCTGGGTCTCGGCCACCGCCGGGGCCGCGCCCGGGCCAGCCCCGGCGTGGATCCCATCCCCACCCGCGCTCGGAGCTCCTCAGGCGAAGCCGGAGGGTCCCCGGCGGGCAGCGGCGGGACTCCTCCCCGGCCCGGCCCGGCCCGGCCCGGCCCAGACCTCCTCTTCAGGGAATGGGCGAGGGGGGTGTCGGTGTTTCCGCGCTCCCCTCAGCGTGGCGCCGCCGGCCGGGACAGGCCGAGGGGCAGAACCAGCTCCGCGGCGGCGGGAGGGATGTGCCCCCGGCACCCTCCAGTACCGAAGCTCTTCCCGGTCCCAATCCCTCTCAGTCCCCGGTCCCCCCCTCAGTCCCGGAGCCCCCCGAGGCCCCCCACTACCTGCGCGCGGCCCCGCGCCGCCGTCATGCCCCGCGCGCCCCGGCCTCCTCGCGCCGCCACGGAGCCCGCCCATTGGCCGCCCGCCGCCGCGCCCCGCCCCCTCCTGCCCGCCCATTGGCCACCCGCCACCTAGCCCCGCCTCCGCCACGCCGAGTGCCGCCTCCCGCCCCCGCAGGCCCCGCCCACCACCCTTAGGGCCGGAGCCTGGCGGGTTCCCTGCCCTTAAAGGGGCCGCGGTACAGCTTCTTAAAGGGGCCACGCGGCGTTCGAGCTCCGGGGTTCCCCCGCCCCGGCGCGACACAGGCCACGGCGGGAGGAGCCCCTGTGCTCCCAGGAGAAACCAGCCTGGGTGTCAACTCGACCCCAGGTACGCTCCTGGTTCTCTTCCCCCGGACATGGAAACCTCAACTCCCACAGACTCCCCCCAAAATCTCTGTAGAGCACCCAGCTCTACTGACTCCGCCCTAGGCCCCCTCCCCACTCCAACAGATGTCTCCAACCCTGCCGATCTCGCCTTTGAACCCCTCACGCCTGCAGAGCCCCTCCACCAGCGCCCTCTTCAGCTCCTGCAAGCACCCTCTAACCCTCGTAACCTCCTCCACTGGCACACGCCCTCAAAACTGCAGCAGCTGCCCCCAAGCCCTGCAGACCCCCACACCCGATCCCAGACCAGACACCCCAAGCCCTGCAGACTCCTTCAACTCCTTCCCACCCCCAACCCTACAGCACTTCCCCACCCTTGCAGACCTCCCCAGCTCCTGTAGCCGTTCTCCACCAGCTCTCCCCTGACCCCTGCAGACCCCCCCTCACCAACCCACAAGGAGCAGCTCAGCCCGGCAGGTGCTTCAGCTTCTCTTTATTGATGGACAGTTGTGCTCTCCCACCCCAGGGCCCATCAGAGTGCTGGGTGAGGGGGGGGCTCTGGGGTGGTGGGGGGGACACGACTAACACCGGAGACAACGCTGCGAGGGGAGCACGGGAAGCTCTGTGCAACACCCTTCCCCTGCCCTCATCCCCAAAACAAGCAGCTGAGAAAGGCTGGATCTGCCTTGGGTCTGGGGAGGCATGTGGCCATACAGGAGGGGGGAGTAGCAGCTTGCCTCCAGCAAGGAAGAGTCCAGCAGAACCGTTGACCACACATTGCCTGTCCCCTCCCCAAAACCCCACAGCAGGGCCAGGGAAAGGGACATTTCACACTCTGAAGACAGTCACCAGGAAAGAGGAGTCCCAGCAGCACGCAGGAACCTCCTATGCTGACTCCTACAGACATCAAGGCAGGACTTTAACTACAGGGAGAGGTTTTTTAAAAAACTAAACACTTCAAGTATATTTTTTTTTTAGTGATTTAAGGTCTCTTGCCCCTGCTGCTGCTGCACTGGGTGGTGTTTAGCAACCTACATCCACTCTAGGGACAAGGAGAACAGCGCAAGCGATGGCTGGTCTACTGCAAGGGGAGACAGAGCAGTGGGGTGGGGGGGTGGGGGGCAGGGGAGGGAAGGCCCAGTAGGCGCTCAGGGTACGGGCACCACACGCATGGTGTTGGTGTAGCCAGAGCCAGGGCGCCAGCCCGTCAGCACGATCACCAGGTCGCCGCTCTTGAAGAATCCTCGAGCTTTGCCTAGGAGAGAAGAAGGAGGCATCAGAGCCCAGTCCCACCCTGTCTCTCTTTGCCATGGGGCAGCAGTTTTCATCACCCGCTCCCCAAGTCACCAAGGCTGCCTGTGCCATGGCAGTCGTGGCTACAGGAGGGTATCAAAACCCCACCTTCCTGCTGCCCACCCATCTGACACCCTTTGTCTCTGCTCTGGAGTTCTCTGCAACAGAGCTCGAAATTCCACAGCACAGGATTTGGAGGGGGTGAAGGACAGTCAACCCCACTCCAGGCTTGCCTTGTCCCTCAGGAGTGGCGAGTGTCACAGATTCATCACTCACCACCATAAACCAACCTGGTCTTCTGTTGGAAACTCCTTAAAGGCAGCAGTGCCGAACCCACCACCCCATTTCCCAATCGGATGTGGTTCTGCTCATGCAATCACCATCCGTTTCCTATCCGGATCCAGTTACCATACAGGCGGCCAGTTCCTCTTTTCTCATCGCCAGTCCTCATCAGTAACCCCAAAGTACCACCTAGGTGCTCGGGGCCACCACGTCTCACCAGAGCCATGTCCCAGGGGAGGGGGAGTGGTGCCACTCACCGACATTCATGCCCAGGGTGACACGCAGGTCCACGTCCTCAGCCCAGGCATCCTGGGCAGGGTCTTTGCAGAGCACGGGGAAGATGCCGCGGTACAGGTGGGCCTGGCGCGCCGTCTGCTCATTGCGGGTGATGGCAATGATGGGGGCCCGTGGGCGGTACCGTGACACCAGGTGTGCCGACCTGCAGGGAAAACAGCCACGGTAGGGCTCCACACAGCCAGCACAGACTCCAGAGGACACCTGGGAACGGCCTGTGGGAGAACAGCAGCCCCAAGGTCTGTCTGTCAGCCACAAGCACTCCCTAAAACCCCTGGGGGGATGTGACCAGTCTCCACAAGAGCCACTCACCAACCAGCTTGATGCTCTGCTGGACTCCCAGTCAGGCAACTGGGCAGACTACCACTGGCCACTACCAAAATCTCCTCACCTCCCGGTTCAGCAAGTGCCATCAGGGTGTTTTGGTCCCCAAACAAGCCTTTACTTGTCTCTGTTGCTATGTTAGGGTGGCAAGGTGCCATTTATTCTGGCCTCTGCAAGCAGGCCTTGGCATCTCAACAGGGGTGCCTGAAAGTTCCTTGTTTTGAGGAGCTCCTGGTTTTCAGGGTGGAAATAGCTGGTGCCAGCAGCACTGCCCAAAGCATGCCAACAAGGAAGCCATCTGCCTCCCAGCCAGCAAACAGGCCAGTTCTTCCACACAGAGCTCTGCTCCTGCACCCCATGGGAAGCAAATGCAACAGAGGCCAAAATTTATATTGGGAAGTTGGGCACAAAGTCTTTAAAATGCCTTAAAATGCCTTATAACATAGCAGCAGCACAGTCCAGGTGGGGACTAGGCTACAGCTTTCCTTTCTCTGAGCACTGCTGAGGGAAAGCATCTGCAAACAGACAGATTCAAACTGCAAGGCTGTGGCAACTGCAGCTCCACCTTTCCAACGGACATGCTGGTGTCTCCACTTGCTTTTGCAGCCTCATTTAGTGGAGCCAAGCATAGCCACACTCAGACACAAAGTTTGCTGCTCAAAGCAGGGGCCAGCAGACTGCTCAAAGCACCCAACCACACATGCCAGCCCTCTGACAAATCTTTCCCACACTGTCCAAGCCACAGATCCACGAGACTCAGGTACTTACAAGAGTTAACCAAATCCACAGCTAAAAATACTCAAATATCAGAGTTCAAACCTCTTTAAAAAGGTCAAGCGTTACGGCTGGAACATTTGGCAAAGAAACATTAGAAGCACGAGGCTACCCAGAACTCGGTGCTTATAGATCCCTCCTCATCTCTGCAGAAAGTCATTTTCTGTTCAAAATAATTTTAAGCTGCACATTTTGGTGAAGGTTTCACTGATGGTCCACATCTTCAGGTAGGTGGTGCCCAGCATACACAAGCACATCTCTGCTGCTGCACTACTGTTTTGGTGTGAATCCAGTGTGAGAAATTCTGATTTCCTTCCAGAAAGCAGTCTTGAGACTTATGGTCGGACGTGCTTAGGGAGCAGGCAGCCCAGTTCCTCTAGATGGAAGAGCTGATCCATGAGGCTCCAGCTCCCATTCCACAACTGGAAGAACAACTCTCTGCTTGGCAGCTGTCACCATGGCTGGACAGAAATCCCAAACTACACTGCTCCAGCACATTTCACCTGCAGCCACTGAGCTTACCTGGTGTCTGCCAGATGCCTGTCTGTGCAGAGATTACCTGCAGGCAGGCACAAGGAATCCTGGAAGAGGATGCTTCCAACACTTTCCATTTTCCTGCCTACCAATCCCAGGCTGTGCAATCCCTCTTTGCCCCTTGGGCTCAGGCAAGGAGGGCTGATGACTGCAAAGTCCAGCAAGGGACCAATCATTTGGATGCTGCTATGAAAGGCCAAAGCCTTGATTAAAAAAAAAATTCTAAAAAGATTCTGCATCCACTGAACTTCTGTCTCACTGTTACATTGATGATTTCTTGCCAAGAAGTTTGAATTGAAGCTGCAACGCTTATTTTCCCTTGGCTCTTCCAGCTGGTGCCACTGCCACTTGCAGCGGTGAGGGGAGGCTGGGCTCGGAGCTGGTGCCACGCTGGCAGAGGCAGGCCGAGGACTCAGAGCGTAGGGATGTGTGTCCATCTCCCAAGGAGCCAGCACTGCAGGCACTGCCAGAACCTGACTCCACTGGTCTCTCAAAGCCATGTTTTTGGAATTCTCCTTCCCCCACCCTGTCCACAGCAGGCTTGACCTGGGGGCACCTGTCCCCTCCTACCTTCCAGACTTGGTGAGGACAATAATGGCCCCGCTGCAGCACTTGAAGGACGCTTCCACAGCGCCCACAGCAGCGGCCTCGGTGGGGTCGCAGTTGAGGGGGGTCAGACGACGCAGTTCCTCAAACAACTGCCTGTGAAAGATGGCGGCTTCGGCCTCCCGGGCAATCTACAAGAGCAACATGCGTTCGGAGACAACACTCACGGCAGGCACTCGGGCACAGGGCAGGGCGAGGTGCTCCAGCACAGGGTGCCACATCCATACTGCCAGCCTTTGACACGTCATTAATCAGCGAGCCTAGACTAAGCTCACCCCAATAGCACATCCCTGCAGAGGAACCATTTGACTCCCAAAGGTTCTTTTTGGAACGGTGGCACCTCGCCCTGTCAAGCCCACACTCAGGTGACACTCATGCCAACTGCCAGGCACTCTCCCTCTGCTCTTGCCTGCTGGGGTCCCTCCCTGGCACAGGGTCAGCTCACATGGCAGCGGTTACACACTGTTGGCACGGGCAGCAAGCAGCTGGCCAAAGACTGCAGTGTTAGAGTGCAGCGTGTTTTGCCACAGCAAGGGCTGGCCCAA